GTGCATTTCTGGGTGCAGTCTCGCTGAGCGAGAGAGTCTTGTTGTAGCAAGATTCTGCAAAAATCAGAGTGCAGTTTTCTCTGATTTTTTTGCTGTAGCGAGAAGTTGTGTCACTGCAGCAAGGTCCTCTCGCTGCAGCGAGAATATATTGCTGTTGCGAGAGTGTTACGATTAGAGGGTTTTTAAAAGGGGTTTAGGGATTTGAGATTCATTTATCAAATTTCCTCCCAAATCTCGTCAATCCTCTCGACCCAAAACCCTTGTCCACCGATTAACTGCCTCCAAAGTTGTTCGGGAGTGAGATTGGAGCTTGGATTTGTGTGAGGAACGCTTGGAGGTGAGTTTTAAACGGTTAGAGTTTCAGTTTTCCTTCCCTTTTCTCTGTTCTTGGTGATTTTTGGGGTTCTCATGGAATTCTTCCATGTGTTTAGGCCGAAAGCCATGTGGGGAGCACTCCCGTGGTCGACTTTGAGCGTGAGTCTTCAATCCAAGGTAAGGGGGACTCTACCCTACTCTTTTATGTGTAATTTGTTGTTATTCTGTGGAATGTTGTGATGTGGCTGAGTTAGAATATAGGAAATTACTGAGATATGTGATGTGAATTATGTATCGGATGTTGTGAGTGGGTATGGGCACTCGTGCCGTATAATTGAATGAATATTGTGTGGAAATGTGGGCCCGAGAGCCGTGTAATATGAATGGAAATAGGTTAGGAGCCGTGTAATATGAATGAAATATGGGCTTAGTGTCGTAACTGTTAAATGTGGGCTATGTGCCGTATACTAAAATGTGTGTGTGACTGGGACGTGTAACGCCGTTGTAATGTACTATGAATGGTTCAGCGATACACTGGAGGTGTGGGAGATGAGACGGTAGAAATACCTTGAGGAAGAGGGAGTGGTGGTGACACCGACTATAGAACGGGTGCACTACGGGCCACACACTCTCTTCCTAACTAAACCTCTAACCATTACCTTTACTGAGCGACCCATGACTGCCCACGTGGTATCCGTGAGGCGGGGGTAACCGGCGATCATTCATGGTGAAAATCTGTGATCACAGTATCAATGTGAGTGTGGCTGGCGTGCAAATGCATGAGTTCACGATTTCTGCTTATGGATGTGATAATGTTGCCTGTGCCTGTATTTGTTTAATGTATTGGAAATGTGCTGGAGGTGAGACTCTATGTTAAATTGTATGTTTTGGTAGTGTAGAGTACTCACCCTTACATTCATTTTTCAGGTAATCAAGACGATTAGTACCGGACTCAGTGAGGCGACAAATGGACTACTATAGGATTTAGATTTTATTTTGAAATTTGTTATAATTGAACTAATCCTGTAGCAGTTATGTGATATTAATTTGTAACCCTTCACTTATTTCAAAAATCTTTTATGAAAATCTGATTATCCGATTTGCGAAATTATTATTTAATTGAAATTAAATTTAAGGTATTACACTCAACATCAGTATCCCCACCCTAACACCTGCAACATCACCTCTAATAGCCACCCTTGTTCTAGACTGACCATCACTCTGAAGCGCACTTGGTAAGTCTCTTTCAGGGGTCGACTTTTTAATAGAATCTTTATTCCCAGAAATCCAAACAACCTCTACACGAATATTGACTTTGTCAGGCTGATGAATACTCTAAGCAACATCTACCTCCTCAGCCTCAACATCTTCATTCACTTTCTTTACAAATGACTTCTTCCTTCTACCGTTTACTCGCCCAAATTCTAGAATGTTTCTGTCAAATCTATCATCCATGTCACCAGCCCTATCCTCCTCCCTTTCATCTAAATGAATTTCGTTTAGAGATTCCTCCTCACTACTGGAAAAATTGTCTCCAACAACATTCTTGTTGCCTCCTTCACAAACAACATATATTTCAATCTCTACACTGTTACACATGGCAAAATTAGCCATGTCTAGGGCTACACTATCACAATTGATTTTCTTGAAGTCAAAAGAACCAAATTTCCACAATATACTCACAGGGTGCTCTTTGTAACCTAAGATTGGCAATACATTTCCTCTAATACTAATGTAGAATCTCCACATGATAATTTAATGGTGAGGTGGATGAGAGAGATTGACGGTGACGTGACTAATTGTTAGCTATGTCACCATTTAACTGGCAGAAGTTAATGATAAGTCTGTAATTAGACCCTCTTTTACAGCTCATGTATTCATATTTGACCTTTATTTTATTTAGATTTTACACTAATTTATATATTAATTGTGCAGTTTGGTATAAAGAGGCCGTAAGTGGATTTTTGGTGCATTCTGGGCTCAAATTGATGGAAGATTAGAGTTTCGCAGTAGTTAGCACTCCCAGACCCATTCAATAAGCATGGGGGTGCTTCGAGCCCATGCACGGTTGTGCTTAAGGCCTTGCACGGCCGTGCTCATCTACGGGAAGTCCAATTATGAAGAGTTTTTAGGGTTTTTAAATCCTATAAAAGGGAAGATCTCAGGCATCGTAAAGGAAACTGTTTTTACATCTTGGCTTTGGCTCTAGAATACATCTGATCTCGTCTCTCTTGCACGGGATCCTTTGTACATGCTTGGCAAGACTTAGAGCTTCAAGCGATCATACTTGAAGACTGAAAACACATCTCATACTCTAGTTTGCTATTTCTTTTGATTATAACTTTGTTTATGATTGTTTTAGTTCTTTTCTTTTGCATAAGTAACTAAGTTTATAGTTAGAGCTATAGGAACTATTGTTCATGAATTTATTGAATTTTGATGTTTGAATCTAAATTTGATTTCCGTTTTGTGATTAGATTTTATCCTATTGCGCTTCTTTCTTAATCCTAATTAATTATATCGTCAGACGATCGTACCTCGATTAATTAATAGATCTATAGGGTAAAACGAGACAAAAGATTAGGTGAACAAAACCAATCTTTCTCTTCTAATCGTTATTAAATTAACAAGTTCATAGGTTCCTTAAACTTTTTCAAATTGATGTCTTGCATGACTATTGGGGATATTAATTTAGAGAAAAGAATATTAATATTACATGACCATTGAATATTAATAATATTCGTATGAATGATTGGTAATCACAAGAAAATCAGATTTAGAGTTAAATAGAAAAATAACATAAATGATTGAATGAGAAAACTCATATGTTTTAGGTTCCTCTCCGATAAGTTTAACCAAGGCGTGCATTTGTATTCCTTACTCTTAGTTTTATAATTGATTTTATAAATTCTTGTTTTTAATTAATCTCGTATCTTTGAAACTTAAACAATTGAATTAAGAAATTCTTAGTAATTGGAAATCAATCCTTGTATGACGATATTTTGAGAACTTAATTTAAGAACTCTTTATTACTTTTCGATGGTACACTTGTCCTCCGAACAGTTAACGTCAGGTATAAAATTGAAAAAAAAATTAGTTAGGTATTAAAATGAAAATAAAATTAAAATAATTTTTTGAAATAAGTCCTATTTAAAAATAGTTAAAAGGTATTTAAACTAATATAATAATATCATTTATATAATTAAACTCTCCATCACTTTCTTTTTTGAATATTAAACATCCAAACAAGTTAGAGGTTTAATCTCCTTCTCCTCCCTTCCCTTTCTCTCCTTCCTCTCCTTTCAAACAAAGCCTATAAATCTAAAAGACACAAACATTAACTTTCTCTCTTCTTACTTACAATTAATATCAAATACTATATCTTAATAATATTAATTATATAATCATAGATGCAAAATCATATAAATGCTCTAAAATTTCAACACTATCAAGAGAAGCAAAGACGGAGTCATTATTTGCCGTTTTCAAGTTTGAAATGTAGTTTTAAAGCGTATTTTCACGTCTTTGAACCTTAGCAGATAAATTAGAGACTTTGCTCTCAACTCAAGCGCCTAGTTCAAGAACCGAACAAAAAGACTTGATTACAAAATAGTATAAACTCCAGGGACCTATTTACAACTTCTGAAAGTTCTGAATGGTCAACTAATGGAAGACTTTATAAAAGTACTTAATTACAAATGATTATAAGGTTACAGCTTTCCCTATAATTTAAGGTCTACTAGCGTAATTTAACCAATATTTTTAAATAAAAATGCAAAATTATTAATTATATTTCTAATAATTTAGATATTAAACACTCAAATAACATTATTAAAAAATTAAAAATTGATTTTTAAATAAAATATATTATTTTAATAAAAAAATAACGTTAATATAATAGCTCAATTTATTATTGTATAAATAAACATAAAAATTTATACAAAGTAACAATTTTTCTAACATGTGATTAATAATATTTAAATATTAGATTTATAAATTATGATGAACTATTATTTTTAATGTGTCTTTAAACACCCAGTAAAAAATTAATGAAATAAAACGTGAAGTGAAAATAACTAATAAATAAAAATATACTGAACCAAATACAAAATTCCAAAATAAAGAATACGATGTATCTGGAGATATTTAGAAAAAGGGGAACTTGGGTATATCCTTGCGTGTCAAACATCTAGCCTGCGGAAGATGGGTATGCGACAATCATGATATTCCTTTTTAAGGGCCAATAAAAACTTTCACATCTTTGCTATTTTGCGGTTGATAAGGCCATAATTCTATTTTTTTTGTTACAGTTCAGACCAAAAGGTCAATAATGAAAAAAAAAAAAAAATACTTTTCAAATGATATGCACTCTGCAGGAATTTGCTTTTTAATTGTAGAATTTGTAAGAAGAGTGATAAAAAAAAATAATGTTATTGAATTTCTTTCGAATATCTTCAGGCAACTAACTTCTTTGAACAGTCAATATGTCTTAAATCTCTTTTCCCTGATCGTAATTTGCATTATTATTTTAAAAAAAAAAGTGGTTTTTGGATAAGTTTTTTAAAATTACAGTTTAACCCCCCTCTTCTCCATTTTTGTGTTCTTTTCCAGTATTGTACTTATTCATGCAATGAAAACATAATCGACCGATCATCTTAATGAGCTAAAGTTACCACAAATTTGTTGAGATGTTTAAAGTGTAAAAGTATGCGAGTAAAATTAATAGATTTCATTCATTACAGCGCTTCAGTTGGACAAGAAAAAAAAGGAAAATATTTAAGTTACATCACAGTACCGAAGAAAAACAAAATGGGATGATACATGTGGATGTTTGAGCCCAAGTGTTGGGACGTTGCTTCATTGTGTATCCATGACACCTTATTGAAAGGACTATTACTATATAAAAGCAACAACCATGGCAAGATGCTCTTGCGTATCGTATTTTAAGAGGAAAGAAGTTTAACTGCGACACTTTCTCTTGCAAGAGGAACACACACGAGATTATGGGCTCTTGGAACTGTGAGACCGGGTCTCTCTTCCATGCTAACTTTGGCATCATTGCCTTTCAATATTTCACCTTTTGGGCTCACTACTTGCAGGTCAAAACACTGGATAAGAGAAGCAAGAAGTGTTGCCATTCCTGCAGTAGCCAAATTGACACCAGGGCACATTCTTCTACCAGACCCAAATGGGATCAGTTGGAAATGCTGGCCCCTAAGATCAACAGGACCTGCTTCCCCTTCACCACCACTGTCTAAGAACCTTTCAGGACGAAATTCCAAAGGTCTGTCCCAGTACTTAGGGTCTCTTCCCACAGCCCATACATTGAAAAGTATTAATGCTCCTTCTGGGATCACATACCCGTTGATCTCACACTCTTCCACACATTTTCTTTTCACTACTGGGAGTGGCGGGTGCATACGAAATGTCTCCTTCACAATGGCTCTAATGAAAGGAAGGTTTTGAACATCTGCTTCGTCAACAAGTCTATCTTTTCCAACAACCCTGTCAACTTCCTCTCTTGCTTTTTGAAACACCCTTGGATTGTTGATCAGCTCTGACAATGCCCAATCTGTTGCCACGGCTGTGGAATCTGTCCCTGCTGAGAAGAAATCCTGCACACAAAAAGGCGTCGGAACATTATTAAACACGTGTATAGGTTCATTCACTTTGGACACAAACATATATAGAAGGATGAGAACTTTGTTTCGATAAACCAAAGCAAGAAACTCACCACAACGAGACCCTTGATTTGATCCTTGGTAATTTTGATCTCCATGGTTTCGTCCTCAGCAAATTCAAGCAAAGTGTCAAGGAAAACAACGCTCTGCTCATTCTCATCAACTTCTCCGTTTCTCTCCTTTCTCCTTTTCCTCATCTCTTGGCGCTTCTTAATAACCCTTTCAATGACGGGGTCAAATTTGTTAAATATTTCGTCAATTCTCTTCTCATACTTTCCAACCTTGAGTTTCTTCAAAGGCCAAATAAAGTCAGTTAAACTGTATTCCCCAAAGATCTTAAGCACCTCACGAGCAATATCTCTAATCTCTTCAGCTTCACCCAACATCATCCTAGAGATAGTGCTGTTTGTCCATTTCAAAAGTTCCTCGGTGACATTAAGGGGCTTTTGGGCTTCTGCACTTTGGGCCAAGACCTTGAGAACCTTACGGATTTCTTGGCTCCTCAGAGGCCTCAACTTGTTAACGGTGGTGGCATTGAGAAGGTCGTTCATGATGAGCTTCCTAATGAACTTCCAGTAAGGTCCAAAGGGAACCATGGCCACAGAGTTGTTATATGTGAGGCGTCTGATGGCAGAGGTCTGGAACCTTGTGTTGAAGGAAGAAGCCTCGTGGGTTTGAAGGAAGAGCTTAAACAAGTCAGGAGTAGAGGCAACAACGGTTGGCATGGAACCAAAGTAGAGAGAGTACAAAGGGCCATAACGTTCAGAGAGACTAATGAGGGAGTGGTGGAGAAGTGGTTTGTCCAAAAGGTGAAGGTGTCCAACGAATGGAAGACGAGACTTTGGACTTGGAGGGTTAGGGAGGTGACGAAGGGCCTTAGATTTTGCACTTGGTTTGGGACGTAAGTGCATGAACAGAGCTATGACCAATAAGGTAATTGCAAGTTGGAGCAACATGGTGTGTGCTTGTTTGTTTGATCTTGGCTTTGGTAGTGTAACCAACGAGTGTAGGAAGAGTGCTCCTGATTTTGAGGCTAATTAACCAAGATAGTTCTCGGCCTGAGGAAACAGGCATCCCAGGCTTCCTTTTTATAAGCAACTGATTGGCACTGTATCAGGGGCACTTCTTGTTTTCAGTCTTCGTGAGCATACGTGTGATGCATTGATTTGAAGATAATCTTTCTTAATGTTGTGCAGAAATGCCAGAATTTCATTAAAAACTTTTAACATTCCAGGAAATTGAATGTTGACTGAATTTTTTTAATATCGTTCTTCTAGTTGATTTTTTTTTTTTGTATAACGTTTGCTAAAAGTTTATATAATAAAAATGTCAGTTTTATTAATTTCTACTCTCAAAACTGAGTGTAATCATGTAAAAAACAATAAAATTTATTGCAAAAATAATTTATCAAATACAAAATTTTAATAAGCATTATTTTTAATAAAAAGTTATTACTTTTATATATATTTAAACTCAAATTTAAAGAGTGGACGTTAACAAAACAGTAATATTTTTTGACTAAAAAAATAAAATATCATAAAAATCACTGTATTAATAATATTAAGAAATAAAAGTAAAAATATATTGTTAAAAAATAAGACAAATTAAATATTATAAAATAACGAATGTTATGAAAATCTTGATGACCAGCAATGTTTCTAGTCTAAGATATCGTGCTGAGACTTTTTGTTGTTGTTAGATGTGGTTTTCAAGTTGTAATGGTACACTCGAGAACTGCTGGGGAGCTTCGCCTCGAAATTAACAGTGTATCATGCATCTGAGTCATGATTTGTGCATTTTAAGCAGCAGGAATGTGCAACTAATGCCAGTCTTGGCATTTTGTCAAGAAGAAATTTAAACATCCATCATGACAGGGAAAAACTGCAGTTCTTCTTACGCAGTTGAAATTATGTAATCATATCCACAAATTCTCTAGCCAAACATTACTGATCTATCACTATACATTTGAATTTGTCAAGTTTCAGACTTAAAATCAATTTGTGGGGTTGAACACCACCCCCCATAGTTGGCCATTCAACAAACAAAGTAATTAAGTTCATATCTATATAATCACAAGCACACACAATAAAATTTTCAGCAATTACAAAGGTTATTAAATATTAAAAATTTAGTATTTTATTTTACTAAGAAAATTATCAAACTAAATCATTTAATAGTTAAATTAATTAGAATTTAAAAATGTTGTTAGTATAGTCCAATAATCAAGAAAACATTTAATTTATTTTTAATTTTTTATTAAATACATTGATAATATAATTTTTATTACATTGTCATTCAATCATGAATCATATATATATAATTAAAAAATATTATCTTTTTTAATAATTGCTTTATAAGTCTTATGTAAGATTATTCTAATTAGTTGACACTTCACATTTATAATACATCGAAACTAAATTCATCTTTGTAAGATGATTAGTTTCATATAATACAGTGATTAGTATTAATTACTATTTCTGATGAATTTATGTCACTTACTAGTATCTTTTAAGTGAGGTTAAAAGTTTTATTTTCTTAAAAAAGTATCGGGGAAGAATTTAAAACTGTTCAGATGAAAAACAACTGTACAAGTGGAGCAGAGTAACAAAATAATTCCTGAGACTTAAATTAAGTGATTTTTTTTAGTAACATTTTAAGATTTAATAAAAATATTAATCTTCAACTTCAGTGTTGTTATAAATAAATGGTAAATATAATAATTTATAATTATTATGTGAACCAATTTTTAATAAATAAAAAATAATTATATAACAGTATTTTACTTATTAAAATATTCATTACATTTTTTAATATTTATAAAAAGTCTTGACGTCAGTGATATTGAAATGTAGCGATTAAACACAAGTATACAACAGGAGACACGTACAAAACACGAGACACGTACGGCGGCATGCCAAACTGTCGAAGTAGATGGCCAAGGCTGCATACCTACTCCGATGATTCCCAGTTATAATAATTTAATCAAATATATGATTAATTGAGATAACCCTATTAAAAAATTATTGATGAAATATTACATCCCTATCATTGACTTTTTATATAATTATATGTTTAAAAATAAGAAAAAAGGAAATTAATATAATAGTCAAGAAAGACAGCCCCTTTGGGTCGGGCTCCTCTTCAAGATGTTATAACCACCATCAAAGCAATCAATGATTTTGGAGTGACTACACTGCTGCGTTTAAGGTCAAAACATCCAAAATGACCAAAATACTAGACATTGGTCGTCCACGTGCTCCCTTTATAGTAGACTTGTTTATTTCGACAAATAAAAAGAAATATGTTAAATTAGGTGTTTTTGTTATTTTATAAGTGAATATTATTAGTAAAAAAAATTAAAATATAAGGGACAGCAACTGAACACAAAATAGTCCGTCGGGCTAGATACATAGTATTATTTATACAAACATAACTATTTCGTCATTTTTATTCTTTTCTGTTTGTAATAATTCTAAGCTAAGGTGCGCCATGCAGGGCTGCTGAACCACTCACCATTGACCAAAAATTCAATGGCACCGGTACTAAAGATAACTATTTGTTTGTTTTGCACTTAAATTTATTAAGATAAATCTAAACACGCACTAAATATATGAATCATGAAAAAAATAATCAAACAGTGAGACTCGCAGTCACAAACACGCTATATCTTGAACTGATTGGGCTAGCTAGTTATTCTGAGTAGTGGTTGATTAGTAATATTATTGCAAGCTAAGTATGAAATTTAATATGCATGGATGGTTAGAGACTGGAATTTAATTTTTTTATGCGGTGCGCCATCAAGGACGCTGGTGTGGTGTGCCAATCAGAAAGCGAGTGCAAAGTCCATGTAATGAAGCTTGGACTGTACCCTAAACAAATAAGAACGATACTCCTTGAATTTTTCATCACCTTAGCCAATAATTCAGGTCTCATTGATGGTTTGGACAACGACAGCAGACGTAGCATGAAAATTATATTCAAAGGAAAATAAATATATTAAAAGGAAAATATGTGGCGGCCAAAATGCTCAGTGCCGAAAAGATATACTTCTTTTTTGTTGGCCAGTCAAGTATGTTTTCCACCCCTCAGTGATTCAGAGGCGTGCTGTTGACTGAGAAGCAGATCTCTTTTGCTACTTTTCTAGCTTGCTTATGTCTCCAACAGATTTTACCAAGGAATAATAATAATAATAATAATAAAGTGAATTTTAAATATTAAGTATAATTAAAAATGTGTATTTAAATTAATTTTATATTAAAATTGTGTTATAATATGTAAAATTAACTTTGCATGTTATCTAAATAAATTTTTGTTAGGACATTTGTTACGAGAATTCTTATTTGAATGTTAACTCCTTAGCCTTGCTAGTAGTGCTTATAAGAGTCATTATATAATATTAATCATTAATCTTTAATTGCATTCTTCTCTTTACCTAATTTTTAAATGTTCATACACTGTAAATAAAAAAGAAAAAATAAATAGTAAGACATAAAATATTTTTTTCCTCTCTAATATCCATGATTACTTTATAATTTTTTATTACATTTTTTCCCTGTCACCTCTCCAAGATCTACACACCCTCTCTTGATGTGATGAAACTATAATTTTTGGATATGAAATTGAAAAAAAAAACAAAACCTATATTTTTATAATTTTGTTTTACTTGCATTCCGTTTTCACTCACTTTTTTTTTTTTATCTATTTTTTATCACATTATTAGTTATTACTTTTTTTTTTCTCTTCCTTGTCACCAAACAACACTTTTAAGAAGTTTCAAAGTATCATCACTCCAATGGTCTGTTGGTTGCCAGGAAAATAGGAGGAAGAAAAGTATGTTTCTCTGCTTGGTTGGAGGCAAGATTAAAAGAAAGATATTTGTTTTTGGGTCCCACCATAAAGAAAAATCACTCCATTTTTTCAGGGAAAGGAGCGCAGGGAGGATAGGAGAAGGGAGCATTGCATGAATTATTTTTAATTTTATAAAAAGTTTAAATATAATTCAATTATTTTGTCACATTTTTTTAATTCATCTAAGCGAACTTTTTTTAATTATTTACTTATTTTCCTTTTTAACTCATCTAAATGTTAAATATTTTCTACTTTACTTTTACTCTATTTCTCATTTTTTCCCTCTTTTATTTTATTACTCTGCTTGACCTTGATCCAAATAAACTAAAAAGAAAGGAGAGCGAGGAGTGTAAAAATCAAATCTTGACCAAGGTAGAGTAGCTAACACAAAGCCAACCTCTGACCCTCACCTACCCAAGAACCACCTACCCGCCCAATCAAGTTCATGCACTAAGCCACTCGCCCCACACTGCATAACACTACCGACCCAAACCTCACATATAACACTTTTATTTATTTATCGTCCTAACACCCTCATATGAAACATATAAGAGCCGAAGACTAACACTTTAAATACACATCCATAGAGAAACATTGAATCAGCAAACCTCAGCAAAAGAAAAGAAAAAAAAAAATGGATTTCAGTACCAACGGCACTGAAGAGAGTGAACTCTACCACGCTCAAATCCATTTGTACAAGCACGTGTACAACTTCGTTAGTTCCATGGCTCTCAAATCTGCCATGGAGCTAGGCATAGCAGACGTAATCCACAACCACGGAAAACCCATGACTCTCGCTGAATTAGTCTCAGCACTGAAACTCCACCCCCCAAAAGTCAATGCCCTCCACCGCTTCTTGCGCCTTCTAACACACAACGGATTCTTCGTCAAAACGACAGTGCCGTCAACGAACGGTAAAGAAGGAGAACGCGAAACGGCATATGATCTGACTCCACCTTCCAAGCTTCTAATCAGAGGCAAGTCAACATGCTTAGCACCCATAGTTCGAGGAGCACTTCACCCAAGCTCGCTTGACATGTGGGGCGCTTCCAAGAAATGGTTCACTGAGGAAAAGGAACTTACTCTGTTCGAGAGCGCTACAGGGGAGAGTTTCTGGGACTTTCTGAACAAAGACTCTGAGTCTGACACGTTGAGCATGTTTCAAGAGGCCATGGCCGCTGATTCTAGAGTTTTCAAGCTTGCTCTCCATGAATGCAAACACGTGTTTGAGGGATTGGGTTCCCTTGTTGACGTGGGTGGTGGCACTGGTGGCGTAACGAGGCTCATCCATGAAGCCTTCCCTCACTTGAAATGCATTGTCTTTGATCAACCACAGGTTGTGGGTAATTTGACAGAAACCGATAATTTGAGTTTTGTTGGGGGAGATATGTTCAAGTCCGTCCCTTCTGCAGATGCAGTTTTACTCAAGGTCCGTATATCTATCCTTTCATTTTAAATTAAATTGAATTAATTAAAATATGTACATAAATTAAGCTAAATTACATAATTTTTATTAATGAATTTGCTTATTAAATTTGTGCCACTGTATTAATTATGGATGGAATTTCAATTTTTGTTCTTTTGCAGTGGGTTCTTCATGATTGGAATGATGAGCTCGCCCTGAAGATATTGAAGAACTGCAAAGAAGCTATTTCGGGGAAAGGAAAAGAAGGGAAGGTGATAATCATAGACATAGCAATTGATGAAACAAGTGATGATCGTGAATTGACTGAGTTGAAGTTGGACTACGACTTGGTGATGTTGACTATGTTCAATGGAAAAGAAAGAGAAATGAAAGAATGGAAGAAACTCATATACGACGCCGGATTCAGCAGCTACAAGATTACCCCCATTTGTGGTTTCAAGTCTCTCATCGAAGTTTATCCTTAATTTATTATAGCTCTTGTATTCAATGTGTGCTACGATTTCAATAAGTTTCTACTTAAGAACCAACTCAATATAGTGTTTATTTCTGCATAATCGAGATCTTTAATTGTGACCATCTGGGAATGGGAAGATAAGCTCTTGTTAATTGCTGAGAAAGTCAAATCTAATTAAATTTTAGCGTTTGAAAGAACTAAAGAAAAAAAAAATGCTTACTGAGTGAGATACTCCCACAATTCAGAATATTTCTTCCCTTCTTCCACTTATATTGAAATTGGAAGTCTACTGGACTATATTATATAATAAAAAATTATTGATGTTTATAAAAATTAATGTGTTTGTAAAAAAAAGATTAATTATTTAACAGAAGACTTTTTAAAGTCAATATTTTATATCAAAATACCTGCACATTAAATACGATATCATATAACTGTACTTATTTTATAATAATAATAATAATAATACAGTATAAATATTATTGTTTAATGTAATAAATCATGAACTAACAAAAATTAGTTCAAATAACAAACAGTTCAGTATTATTTAAATAAAATTTTAAATTTTAATTTTTTTAAAAAAATTAAATAATAAATTTATCTATCATATTTATGTGAATGACTTTAAATTTGAATTAAATTATATGAAAAATAAAATTTAATAAATCATGATTGTTCGAAAATGAGACGCCGATATGAAAGGAAAACGACAGCATGTGGGTAAATGTATGGATACGATATAGCGCACAACTAATTCAGTGTTACTTATACCCACTTAGACTGAGGTCATTTTTATAATATATATTTACGATATTTTCAAATATTATTTTTGGAATTTAATTTTTATTGTTTTGTATTATATTATTTATTTTATCTCTCATTTAATTATATAAAATGTTATAAAAATATTAGCTAAGAATAGATTTTTCATTTACTTAATTAGATTTTAATAGAATAATTGATGAAACAAATAAAAAAAAAGCGCCATGCGTCATATATGTTTTGCTCGGAAATACAATCAAATCGAAAACATTTTGTCATCCAAAAAGATAATTAAAAAAAGTATTTTTTATTATATGATATATTTTTATTGTATAATAATAATAATAATAATAATAATAATATATGATATTACATTTATTTTTTATTACTTTTCGATTTACAATTTTTTTATGATAAAAGTGGATGACCAGTCAAGAATGGCGATTTCATGCCTTGTGTTTCAGTTGATGGCGACATCAAACACTGTTGTCTTCTTAGATAATGATATTCTAAACTTAAAATAGACCTTTTTGGCACAGAAAACATAGGATAGACTGAATTTTTTTTATCATTTTTACGAACCTCAATTAATTTAAACTTTTTTTCACAGTTCAATTGTATGCATTAAATTTAATAAATATATTATTTTTATTCAATTTTTCAAAGAGTTGACAAAATTAATTAAAATAACATTTAAGTACGATTAATTTAATCATTAGGTATATAACATTTAAATATGATCTTGGGAAATTGCATCAATTCTTAGCGATATAAGGTAGTCAAAGAAATGATGATTCTCTACTGCTATGGTATCTAGACTAAAGCTCACAGTTGTAAGTGGCATAACCGTTCATGACTCACATTTGATTAGATCTAAAGTAGAAGAACTTCAATATGCCATCATCCCCAAACTGGAAACAGCCTCCTCAGTTAATGAAGTTTATAAATTCATGTATAAGCCTTTGGTGTCAAATGTGGTACATTTCATTCACTGAAAAGCAACTTATTGTCAAAAAGTCTACAACTAAAGCTGAACATATAATTTTAGTCGAGTTAATATGGATCAAGTCGCTTCTAAAGCTTTATCTCTCACTTCATTCAATTTCAATAATTTACTTAGACAATTTAAATGTAGTTCAATTCATTGTTAATTTCTTTTTTTCATGATGAAAGTGTATTAGAACCTATACAAACTCAGAATTGCATTGTAATTAAAAGCAAACTACATAATGTCTTTAGTATATCATCTATCATGTTGTGAGAAAAGGCATAATCTAGACTCAATGAAATTGTTGCCTTTAAATTTTACTAATCTCTTCACAAAGGCACTGCATCCTCGATTCTTCTCTGCCTTCTTTTCTAAGCTGAGTCTTATGGTATCTATAAGCCCTTGTGAGGAGAGCCCATAATCAATTCATAGACTTTGACCCAGTATACCACTAACACTCATATTACTTGAGAGTTTTGATATAACATTTCAACTAATTTTGTCAATGCTCACTTGATATATATAAAAGGATGTGTATGCATATATAGAAGGAATATTAATATATTTTAGTATAATATAAAATCATTCATTTTCTTAGTTTTTTACTTTAATTTTTTCTAAGAATACCGTTAAAGTGTAACAAAGAATACTATAACGAATAGTATTTGATTATAGTTGGTTTAGTTAATTTCTATTTATGATAATATATTCAGTTGTATTTTGTTATTCTTTCCGGTGAATACTAATTTTTGCCTCCTAGAGATTACTTCCAATTTTTTTAAAAATAAAATAAAGTAAATTCGTTTTACGGAAAAATAAAAAATTTTGGAAAAGAGAGAGAGATCGATTCCATAAACGAAAGCCTTATACTGTGCAGGCTCATACTCAGTAGTAAGAACCAATTTTAGGGTTTATACAAAACGCTGAATTTTTTATGTTTTGTATAAATCCTAAATGACTCGTATAAATACACAAGTAAAATCTAAAAGGTGAGAAGAGCTTTTAAAAGACGAGTAAGAAATTGAAAGAGCGGCAAAATCTTTTAAAAAAAAGAGAGAAAAGGGGAGAGAGCTTTCAGAATGGAAAAGGAGACGACAACCATTTTGTTTTAGAGAGGGAGAACAAAATTTTTAAGAGAGATAACAAATGTCTTTGAGAGATTTGAAAAAAAGAGAAAAAAGAATAACACAAAGCGAAAGAGCATACAACTAGAGGGAAGAACAAAAGAGTAAAAAAAGAAATTAGATACCAAAAGAAGATAAAGAAATCACATTATTTCAGCTATTTCATAATCTTTCTTTATCGTTTAAATCTGGAACTTGTACACTGTATTAAGGTTTTTTTTTTTCTCGCTCACAAACACAAGTGTCATTATTTCACCATATTTTGAGTTTTTGCACATGAACGAAGTAAGATAGAAACCATTTAATAAAAGTCCTTAGTCACTTTATCAAGTTTGGTTGTCCTTTTTTTTTTTTTTTTTACAAATATAGATAACTCATTTAGGATAATTATAGAGTTCATTTTTTTATTATTTAGTAAAAAAGAAAACATAAAAAATAAACCTTTTTTAGTTTTCATTTATTTATTGATTATATTTTTTTTATTTATCTTGAGTTTATTTTAGTGAAAATATTTTTCTTATATATATATATTTTTCATGTTACTTTATTTTATTTATTTTCATATTATATTTGACTCATATTTTTGTCTATAAGATTTATCTCTTTCTCACTAAAAGCTTTACAAGATAAATAAATAATATAAAGATAATAATAAAAATTTTCACAAAAATTATTAAATTTTTACTTGTATCTATTTCATTTGTTTTTTTTTTTTTGGGGTTGTTTGTTTTTTTTATCATTTTCTTTATTATTTTAGAATATTGATGTGATGTGATGTTTTGTCTCTATTTATTTAATGAATATGAAATATATTTTTTAATTAATTTATTTTATTAAATAAATAAATAATATAATATGTTTATCAATTTATAATATTAACGTGTAATTTTTCTACTGCTATGTGTTATAAATTAATAAAGCTTACGTGTACCTACATTATCGAGGCTTTATGCAAAATTAATTTATCATATATTATTAAAATTTTAATGATCTTAATAATCAATCAAAACATATTCTCTATAATTATTATTTTACTAATCAGTCAATTTAAATAAAATTTATTTTATTAACACAATAATTTATAATGCTAATTGCTAGAACTTATGTGTATCAACGTTATCTTATGTTTTATACAACATATATTTATCAAACAAAGTTTTAATTGTTTTTTTATTAAATAATTTTTAATCAATTCAAATATATTTATTTATTTATTTTATTAAATAAAATTAATTTTATATTTTAAATTTTTTTAAATCATACTTCTTATTTAATAAATTAAACAACCAATCTTTTCTTCATTTTATTATACAAATTTTTGTAATATTAATGTGTAATTTACATTGTCTTCAATGGTCCAATAAATTATAAAATGTTTATGTATAGCTTATGCTATCTTAAATTTCTTTCAACATTAATCATAATCAAAATTCAAATTCAAATACTTTATTTACAAATAAAATATTTTAATGATTTGCAATATAGTTGTGTGATCTCCTTTCACCATCTGTATTTATTTCTTGTAGGGTACATGTATAACCATGTTATCTTGTATCATAAACATTATAATTTTATGAAAATAATTTTAATTTTAAAATAAATATTCTCTTACTAAATTGAATTTAATCAATTAATTTTGTAATTGTTTAGATAGAACTATATGACTTTGAGTTCTCCATTGCACTTGGAGATACGTAGAAGCAGGAACCGAACCCGTTAAGTCAAAATAAGGTATTCATTAACATTTTAATAAATAATTTATCTTCGTTTAAAATTAAAAATAATAATAATAATAATTGTTTAGGTGGTTAAATAAATATTTTTTAAAATTAAGATGAATTTGCACAATTAATTTAAGGTAACCGTTTTTAAACGGACGTTGTAGAGTGCTAATACCTTCCCTACACGTAAATGACTCCCGAACTCATTCTTAGTTTTAAATATCATATTATTTTAAACTTTTTCTAAAGTTTTCTAATAAACTTTGGTGACAATTCCTCTAATTTTTTAGAAAACATTTTTTTTATTCCTAAAAGATATTTTTTTTAACTTTATTTTTTCGCTATACTGTTGCGACCATCCAATTGTGACAGATGACGACTCCACTCGAGAAGTCTTTTAGAGAGTCAAGCCTTTAATAATTGATTGTGCAAATTTGTTTTATTTTGTTTCTACTTGTTTAATCCCTTTCTTTTTCTTATTTATTTGAATTAATTGTATTATGTTTCTTTTATTCGTGCATGTATTTTGTGT